ATCGCCGAGGTGCTGAATTTGAAAGAATTCAGCGTCGAGGTGCTGAATTCGAAAGAATTCAGCTTCGAGGGGCTGATTTTGAAGGAAGAAGGGAGGAATTTCATCGCCGAGTTGCTAAATTTTAAAGAATTCAGCATCGAGGGGCTGATTTTGAAGGAAGAATGGAGGAACTTCATCGTCGAGGTGCTGAATTTGAAGGAATTCAGCGTCGAGATGATGATTTTGAAGGAAGAAGGGGAGAGTATGAAGAGGGGTTCGAGTATAATCGTTAGAGGGAGAATCAGGACACTTGAGGAGCTCTTCCTCTTCGAGGAATGGGAGGTTATGGAGGAGTCAGGGGAAACGGAGGAGATCCAAGGGTGAGGAAGCTGAAGATGCCCATCTTTGAGGGTGAGGATGGCCATGGGTGGATTTATAAGGTGAAGCGATATTTTGCTGTCAATGGGCTGACGGAGGAGGAGAAATTGACAGTGGCGGGGAGGGGGTTTAGCCTGGTATCAGTGGCGTGACAGACGGGAGCCTATCCGGAGCTGGCGGGAGTTCAAAGAATGCTTATTAAAGCGTTTCCGAGCAGATGAGGGAGGAGACTTCTATGAGCAATTCTTTGCCCTTACCCAGGAAGACACGGTGGCAGATTACCGAGACAGGTTTGAGTATCTGGCTAGTAGGCTGGACCATATCTCGGAGTCAGCCCTAAAAGGGAATTTCATGAAGGGGCTGAAACCGGAGGTAAGAACAACAGTCACAGAGTGTTGGAGCCAAGGAATCTAGGCAAGGCCATGGAGTTGGCCCAGTTGGTGGAAGACTAGAAGAAGTCTGAAAGAGGACCTCGAAGAAACTGCTCAGGAGACTCTTACAGGACGACGACCACTCTTCTAGTACCCAAGGGGCCTGCATCAAGCAACATTAATGAGACCACCCGGGAGAAGCCAGTAGGAGGAGGGAGTGGGGAGAATTTTAAGAGACTGACAGAGAAGGAGATGCAGGAGAAGAGGGCAAAGGTGTTGTGCTTCAGATGTGATGAGAAGTACATGCCGGAGCATAGGTGCAAGGACCGAACTCTTCAGGTTCTCCTTGTCTGTGAAGACAAGGAAGATGAGGAGGGAGGTGGGAGTAGATTTGAAGAGGAGAAAAAGTTACACCTGGATGTGGCAGAAGTCTATCTGAACTCTGTAGTGAGATTCACTCCGAGTCACACTATGAAAGTGAAAGGAGATATAGCTGGCTGTGAGGTGGTGGTGCTAATTGATAGCGGGGCTACCCACAATTTCATTTCCACTCAGGTCGTCAACCAACTGGGAGTGAAATTGGTGGACACCGGTTGTTATGGGGTGATGATGGGTACAGGGAAGGTGGAGAAAGGCCAAGGAATCTGTAAAGGAGTGGTGTTG